TCATTTAATATTTATGATAAAAATATTAAAAATAAAATGAAAAATAATAACAAAATCATTTGAAATAAGAAAGAAATATATAATTTTATTATCATTTTCAATTATTTCATGGAAAACTATTAAATTCTAATAAATTTTTAAACATATTTAATATTAATATTTTTTTTAATGAACTGACTCACAAGCTAACAAGTTGAGCTAGTATTGACCAAAGCTTGATTCATTAGCTCATCAAGTTAAGCTCAAAAGTCATTTTTTAAGTTGAACCCGAGTTAAGACATGAGTTAGCCCGACTTTATTGCAACCCTAAGAAGGAAGCGAATTTTACTGTAAAATTAACTTTTAGACAAATTTTCAAATATATATTGTAAAATTTTCATAATAAATTCATAAAAAATGTTAGGTATTTCATACTTTATCTAATATAAAAAAGACAAATGATAATTTTTAACATAATTGTGTTAATTATTCTATAAAAATTTTACCCAAAATTTATTTTCACATTGAAGTCCACGTTGAATCACAATATCTAAGCACTTTAAAATTTTGATTATTTTTTTAATCCCTCCCAAGTCTTCACCACATAGCCAAAAACCACTTAGGAAACTTAAAAAATTAAAAAATCAAGCTGATTTTCATCTAGCAATGTATTTTCAATTGAGATGTTGCTAATCCACTGAAATGTAAAGAGTCTTGATGGTTTGCCTAATAATGTATTTTATTAATGCATACAAAAATTTTAAAATATCATAAAATTTTAATTATTAATGTGGACTCAAAATATTTATTTAGATTATAATATTTTGTTTTTACTCTATAAACATTCAATCAAATTATCTCTAAAAGGCTATTTGGTAGCAGGATTTAGATCGGATTTGAGGCGGATTTGAGCGAAATCCAACCAGACGGCCTAAAATGCAACACCAAATCTCACGGCAAATGAAAGCCATCGTAGAAGAAAAATTCGGCCTTTTAGTGCTAAATGCCGGATTTCTGAAGTCCTGTTTTTTGCTGGATTTATGAAATCCATTGGCTCAAGAGAAAGAGTCCGCTCTATAGCCAAATATTTGCACGAGATTTAATAGCTTTTATCATAAATGCTATCAAATAATTTTCAAGATTTAGGCCCCTCAAGATTTCTCAAATCCAGATTTAGAAGATTTACAAAATACTACTTAAAATCAAATCCTAGATGCCACCAAACAGCCCATAAGTATTCAAAATATATTAATTTTATTTTACTCCACATATGTTCAATTAGATAAAAAAACAGTTAATCGTTGATAATAAAAAAAAAAAAACAGTTAATCATTTTATAAATAATTAATCAGTCTCAAAATATTTACTTTATACTACTCTGTATTTACTAAACAGCCCCTTTGATATTCTTTTAAACAAACCATAACAAAGTTGAGCGCGGTGACCCAATCCTGACTTTCCCATCATCGCCGCGACGCCTGTGGGCTGAGGACTGACGAGGACGAAAGCTGAACTGAAGCGAGAGCGCAAAGAGCGAAGAAAGAGAAAGCTAGACCCCCGAAGAAGCTAGGGAGACATTTTTGGGAGAAGAAGAGATGGCCGCCCGAGCTCTTTCAATTCTCTCTACTTCTACCTTCCACTCCCCGTGCCTACCGAAGAAACCTACCACCATCTCCTCTTCCTCATCACGTTCTCAAAATTCGTTCGTTTCCTGCTTGTCTCCGCTCTCCGGATCTTTATTTGGTGAATCCATCTACCAATCCCTCCGGCCACTAATACCCTCCCCAAAGCAAGGCCTTTTCCACTCAGCGATGGTTCTTTCTATGCTACCCACCGCGTATTCCTTCTATCTCGATTCGAATCCCCAAAACACCTCTTTTGCTGTCTTCCTTTCCTTTTAAATCTGACCCAGTTTGGCTTTTTCTGCTGCAGAAAACATGACATAGCGCCGGACAAAATCCCCAAGTAAGCGTTTTTTTTTTGTATTATGGTTAACGGGGGATTCTATGTTGTTTTGTTGTTACAGTGGCTTGATTGGTTAGCAGGTGGTCGGCGAGGTCAATCAAGTCTTTCGGAATGGCGGAGCTAGAAGCGAGGAAGTTGAAGTACCCAAACACTGGGACTGAGGCTCTCCTCATGGGAATCCTTGTCGAGGGTTAGTGGATGTTTGTTATTTTTAGTTTTAACGAATTTGATTAGGAGACCTCTTCTGTGAATATGCTTCTAAATTAATCAAATTTCTGACAAATTCTTGGTGTTGAAATGATAAGAAAATAGGTAATTCGAGCTTTGATGACAATTTATTGTTAATTTTTTCTACAATTGCATACTCCTGCAACTTTCAAGTGCCCTTGTATGAATTATTTATTAGATGCCCCTTTAATCATTTACTGTATGGCATTCTTGTTGGTTTAACACATGAAAGTCCTTTTCTTACATGTATATATCTCTCAATGAACACTGCATTAGCATATGTTGAATGAATTTAAAATAGACAGTTAACATGATTTCTCACTTTTTCTCGTTGTAATCTATGGGATGTAGGATAATTTAGGGATCAGGATTCCCAATTAAATGAGGATAATGCAAATCGTACAAAATAATCTGGGATTCATAAATCGCTGATCAGAAAAAACACAAAAAAGTTGCCTTCTTTAAATGAAAATAAGTAAATACGAGAATTAGAATTCAAGCAATAATGCAATGATCAAATAAATTTATAAGAGATCAATGAGAAGTTTGAATTGTATAAAATTGACGAGAGATTATAATTTATTCATTATAATTAGAATACTAGTGTCAAATTTGAATAAAATCAGGAACACTTAGAAGAAAATAGTAAAATACGATGAAAAAATTAATTTAAAAAATGACTCACCACCACCACCACCACCAACAACAACATCAAGCCTTTAACCCACTACGTGGGGTCGTCTACTTGAATCCTTTTTCTCTATTGTGTCTTATTAAGAGTCAAATTCTCATTTAAATCTAATAAAGAAGGGTCATTTCTAATGTTTATAACTAAGTCTTTTCAGGTCTATCTCTACCTTTCTTAATATAAACTAAATATAATACATCTACTTTCCTAACCAGGTCATCGAAAGGCCGCCGTTTTATTTGACCAAATCATCTAAGGCAACTCTCTCTTACTTATCTTAGACTGGAACTACTCCAACATTTTCATGTATATGCTCATTTTGTATCTTTTCTCTAAGAGTAAAGTCACTCATCCACCTGAGCATTATCATCTCTGCAACTTAATATTCTTCTTCTCTTTTAATGGCTAACATTCTGCACCATAAAACATTGTAGGTCTCACCATCATCTTATAGAAATTTCCCTTAAGTTTGAGGGAGACTTTTCTATTACAAAACAAACCCGATGCATTCCTCCACTTCAACCATCCAACTTGAATTCTGCTAATGATATCCCCATCTATTTCACCATCACTCTGAACAATAGACTCAATATAGCTAAAATGTGTACTCTTATTAATGATTTGATCGCCTAAAGTCACAATCCCCCCACTAGATCTATTAGTCTTAAAATTACACTCCATATATTTGTTTTAGATCTACTCAAATGAAAACCTTTAGATTCTAAGATAGACCTCCATAATTCAAGTTTACCTTCAACTCCCTCTCTAGTCATATCAACAAGAAGAATATATCAATAAAAAGCATACACTAGGTTACAACCTCTTGCAAATGTCTAGTGAGAATATCCATGACTAAAGCAAAAAGATATGGGCTTAAGGTTGATCCTTGATGTAATCCAACAAAATTAGGAAAACACTTGGTCAAACCACCTTGTGTTTGAGCACACGTAACAGCTCATGCATACATATCCTTAATGACTTGAATATAAACATTATAAACCCCTTTCTTTTCTAAAACTCCCAATAACACTTCCCTTGGAACTTTATCATATGCTTTCTCTAAATCAAAGTAATAAATTTAGGCCTTATGCCGAGGAGATTAGTTTCCTAGGATATATTAGTTACACTTGTATTGCTCTCGAAAGAATCACATATCCACCTTATAAACTCAAGATTGAAACATAAACAAAAAATTTTAGTCAATAAAAAATATTCAATTACATGTCTCAAACTCTCTATATATTGACTTTTCACCCCTAGGTTGTTAGATATGACTGACTCAAGTTCAACCAAAGTCAATTCCAAATAATTATTAAATTCAATATTTGATTTTATCCCAGAATTCAATTTCTAATTAACAAAAATATAGGCTAAGAATTTTAAAAAATTACCATTGAATAATCTAGTAGGGAATGTCTCTCATTAGTAGTGCCTATAATTTTGTGTTTTAAAAAATTATGGTTGAAAAACTTTTTATAAAAATTATGGGACAGCCTTCTTAAACAGTCTCTACCACCACAAATCAACTCTAGGATTTAACTTTGATTTCTTAAACCAACTCCATTCAATACAATCAGCATCCCCAGTTTCTAATGCTTCCACTGCGAAAGAAAATCCACAAACAAAAAGCCCACAAGTAGCAGCATTATAACACAATTGAGCATCCACTAAAGTAGTGGAATCACATATAATGGTAGGATCCGAATAATAAGGAAGTTGCTGGAGTCCCGAAGAAACCGTTACATTCCTAGAAAAGGTAAACAAAAGAAAACTGATACAATCTTGCATCCTAAATTAACTTATTGCATTCTTTTGTTGATCCAAAATGACAGCCTGGCTCTGGAAGTCATGTTTAATGTTCAGATTTTTTTTTCATGACTTTTATTTTTAATCCATTGAATCCCATTGATTGATTTTGTTGAGATTTAAAAATAAAGCTTGTGCAAGTAAAAATTCTCTAAACTTTCAAGGTGGAATAGCATGTAATTACTATTTATATACCCCAGGTTTCTTGGCATATTATTTGCATTAAGTTTCCTAGTAAAGCATGTTGATTATTTACCTAAATTTCCTTATTGGGGCTCTTTCTCTAACATTGGGTTGAATAATTTATTTCTAACCAACATGTGTGTGCTATGAAGTCTTTCCTTTTTTTTTTTTTTCTTTTCAGATAGTATGAAATTTCTGTGAAGAGGATTGGTTTGAAGTAGTGGTTAAGTTGCTTTTAATGTAGTATAGAGGTCCTAGGTTCGACTTATAGAAATAGGCTCTGTGTAGAGCAAGAGCATGACTGCATATATCACAACATCTTCCCTGATGATGTTTTAGTAAAAGCACTATATACTTGGTATTCCCTTTGTGTAATGTTGCTAAAGAAATATTTATCCATAAAATTATAGATGATTGTTGCAATTTCATTTTTCCTTGTTATTTATTAGAATGATTTAGTAACAATATTTAAAGATCATTATTTTTTGGTGATGTGATATATCTAATTTTTTAGTTAAATTAGCGATACTCAATGATGTTTATGTATTTTATTTGTTTATTTATTCTTCTTTCACCTCCATCCTTTTTTTTGTAATTCCTGATTTTGTTTCGAGAGATTTCATGTGCAATAGGCTTTCTCGATAAATAGATTAATTTTCAACTTACACCTGTAATATTGGCCCAAATTGATCAATTGAGTGTTTTAGGAGGGCCTTAAAGATAGATAAGTATTTGTTGTTCAATTGAGAGACAAATTATCTACCAAATCCATATGCCACCACCTCTGTTTGGCACCACACTTGAATGGTTGTATCGTTGAGCCTTAATAAGTTAAATAAATTTTCTTTTGTTTATATGCACCAACATTAAGTTAAGTGTTGCAAAGATGAGGATGTGCAGGTGGATTAGTGGCTTCATGATACATTGACAGTCCTTGGGGGGTGGACCAAGGAAGAGCTGGACGGACTGGTTTAGTAGACCCCAGACTAGGGAGGGACGGACCAGGGGGGCTGAACCTGGACAGATTTCGGCTCCTTTTGTGGGACCCAATAAAATATTAATTCATTATATGAAAAGAGGAATTAAGGAAGGGGTTAATTTGGAAGGATTTTCTAATTGAAATTTAAATTGGAGAGGGAAATATATTAGGAAAGAAGGGCTAATTTAGGAAGGGATTAATTAGGAAGGATTTCCTAATTGAAACTCAAATTGTAGAGAAAAATATATTTGGAAAGGCGGGGGGGGGGCTGATTTTGGAAGGGATTAATTATGAAGGATTTTCCAATTGAAATTTAAATTGTAGAGGGAAATATGTTAGGAAGGGGGGTTGATTTAGGTGGGAAGTAAAAGAAGCTTATTTAAGGCTAAGTTTAGGGTTTATTTTGTTTTAGGTAGATTTTGATTTGGTTTTGCAGTAGCTTTTTCTTTGAGAGCTTTCTAGTGGCGTCTAGGTTGTTTGGGAGAGCTGTTTTACCTCTCAAATTATAGATCACCTATGTCTTGCTTTCAAATTGAAATTATAATCTAAAATCAACCATTATTATTAGTATTTATGTAGTTTTTCTATTGTTTGTTTACTATTTTTTGTCTCTAAGGCGTATCAAATTGGTCTTAGAGCAGTGTTCTGGACCAAAATCTTTGTTCTCCTCGCAGATTTATGCTACGTATCTCCTCCAATTTGACGATTTTTGTGGTTTGAAGACTTTAGTCGCTATCTTGTTGCTGATTTTTGCAGTTTGTAACGTAGTTTCGTGAATGACAACAAATAAGGTGGAGGCATTGGAAGGCGAGATGGAGCAATTCAAAACCGGCGTGGAGCAGAAGCTCGCTACTATGGAAGAAAGGTTTTCATCTATGAAAAATTGTAGGGAAAATTGATTTGGAGGGGTGGAGATATTAAGAAGGATTTTGGAGATGCAAACAAGAACTCCACTGGTGATTCCAATGGCTAACCCCAATTTGGATTCGATCAGGATTCCCTTGACCACAACCAAGGGAAAAGGAGTTAAACGGGAAGAGTTCGATGAATAGAGTTTTTTTTTTCCACCAAGAATCACCTCATAGGGCTCCGACAAGGGGTGGAGTAGGATCTTTAAATGGGGGGATAGTAGGAAGGGAGTTTCGTGGCGGAGGTGTGTCAACCATTATGGGGGGCGGACGGAAGATAGGTGGGTTTCCCACCCACGATACACTGCTCGTTGGGGGCGGAACACGGGGGGGGGGGGGGGGGGGGGGATAGTGGGAGAGGAAATTGGGGTGGAGATGAGGAAGCTAAAAATATCAAT